TGAAGAACAAAAAGGACAGCAACTTTTCTGTTCCCCTTCCCCCAATTCCCCAGAGCTGTTCCTATCCCCCAGTTCCCCAATAAAAATCTTTGGAAAAAAAAAAGAAAGAAAAGTGCTAGAAACAAGTCAGACACAGGCTGCCTTCACAGCTGGAGGAGGGCGTTAGTTGGGCCAGTTCACATGCGTGGAAGGCAGAGAAGGGGTGTCAGAGATAGGAAACCAAAGGAGAAGTACCCCAAGTGCACTGCAGGTTACAGAGTCTCTTGGTGTTCATGACAACCCAGTGAGGCAGAAAAGGAAGATTTTATTTTGTTTCTCTTCAGTGAGGGAACAGAGATGCAAAGCAGCATGCTGGCAAGGATGGAGTTAGGAACTAAATTCAGGGGGGGACTGATTCCAGACCTGATGCCTCTCCAGCTATGCCAGGGGCCTGTCAGAAGCACCAACACAATCACCGGTGCTCTTCAGTCTGCAAGGAACAAGGCTAGGCAAGAGTGTGATTGGATTTTTTCCCCTGTAAAGTTGAAGATAATTAGTATTCTTAGGGCACATCTCCAGCTAATAAATTTCCCCAGCTTCCACGGGAGAGGGAGACTGAGCAGTTCTGTCTTCCTTGAGTAAATTAACAGCAGCTAGCTACCACCCATGAGGCCTGTCTGGGCTTTGCACGGTCAATGAGTAAGACCAGCTTCTGAAGCACTGAGGCCAGTGGCTCTCGGGCATCGCGTCTGTAGCCACATTGCCTGTCCCCAACCTCCCTGCTCCTACCACCAAACCAGCCTCCCTGCTTCTGGCCTCAGTAGAGGCTGTTTCCAAATTGGGCCCTTGGTTGGGCTGAGAACTCTCTGGCTCAGGTTTGGGGTTTGGGGTAGATGGACAAACAGAAGGAAGCCAGAGCTCCAAGGTTTCTTCCCCCAGCAGAAATATGGGAAGATTATACTTGAGTTTTAATATGCAGAAGGAGTTTGTTTCATATTGTTTGTGAACTATGTGAATTGAAGTTGGACCATATGAGAAAGGAACTCATAGAGTCAGCAAGCAGAATGGGTTCAGTGGAAAAACTAGGGCTAGAACCTAAATTAAGGACATGGTTGGTGGTTGGTTAACAAGAGTGCAAAGGGGAGGTGTCATTGGATAGTATCCCAGGGTCAAACACCAACAGGGGCAATAAACGGGCATTTAATCTACAAATATATGAAAAGATGTTCACCATTAGTCATTAGGAAAATGCAAATCAAAATGATAGTTTATTCCATTTCATTAAATAACCATCCACTAGAATGGTTATAATAAAAAGAATGAACAATAACAAGTGTTGGTGAGGATGTGGAGAACTTGGAATCCTCAGTAAAATGGTGCAGCCACTTGAACAGTCCAACAGTTCTTCAAAAAAGTTAAATGTCAAGTTACCATATGGCCCAGCAATTCCACTCCAAGATATATAACAAAGAGAAATGAAAATATATGTCCACACAAAAACTTGTACATGAATGTAGAATAAGAACATTTTCATAATAGCCAAAAAGTGAGAACAACCCAAATGTCCATCAACTGATAAATGAATAAATAAAAGGTGATAAACTTATACAATGGAATATTATTCAGCCATAAAAATAAAGTACTGATATATGCTACTATGTGGATAAACTTTGAAAACATTCTAAGTGAAAGAAGCCAGTCACAAAAGACCACATGTTGTATGATTCCATTTATATGAAATATCCAGAATAGGGAAATCTAGAGACAGAAAGTTGGTTAGGGGTTGGCTGGGGGTGGGGATTTGGGGGAGATAGAGAGTGACTGTTAACGAGTATGGTGAACCCATTTTGGGATGGTGAAAAAGTTCTAAAATTGACTGTAGTGATGGTTGTACAGTTCTGTGAATATATTAAAAACTACCAAACTGTAAATTTAAAAGGGTAAATTTTATAGTATGTTAATTATATTTTAATAAAGCTGTGACAAAAGAATGTGGAAAAAAAGGAAAGAACAGTAAATGCAAAGTCCCTAGGGCCACGTTGAGGTAAGTGTTGGAAGAACAGAATGGCCAATGTGGCTGGACAGTAGGAAGAGGAGAGGCTAGCAGGGCTGGTTCACAGAAGGCCTTGATTTTATTCCAAGGCCTCATAAGGGAGTATGAATGCTGAGGCAGGCGATGCCATCCAGAGTGGTCCACTTGTACATCCCTGCTAGGCCTTCTTTTTGGAAGCCCATGGTCCTGCCCACTAGCTGCCTATGCCAGTTTACAAGGCACAGCTCTTTGGCCGTCTTCACCTAAATCACACCTCTCTGAGTCCTCAGGGCTTTGTACATTTGTTTTTTTAAAGTGTGTTCTATAGCAAAAAAGCAGAAAAATGAGTCATCAAAATAAAAAAATAAGTTTGGTTCAAGAGTGATGAAAATGTGTATATTTCACGTAATATCCTAATAAAACCAGGAGCCAAAAGCAAGTTTAATGAGTTTTGATAAATCATTTAAGCAATATGCTCATGCTCTCTGTGAGAGTTAAGATTACGCTGGCTGGCCCACAAAGGAAAGGGCCTGATGGGTGGGGTGGTAACAAGAACTGTAAACATCAGACATCCTTGCAGTTGTTTATTCCATGTGTGCACTCTGCACTCTGCTGACTTGCTCGCCACGGGGTCTTGTTGCCTCATCCTGACAGGAAGGCTCTCACAGTCCCTTGTTAGGGTGAGAACCAGCCCCTTGCAGAGATAGCTGACCCCTACCTCTGCTCTTGGGGTCCCTCCACACCTGTCAAAGGGAGGAAGCTGTGTTTCCTGAGAGTCTTATCAATGGCACACTTTGTTGCCAAGTCCTGTGACGCTGGTAGGACTCCTCCCAGTCCTCCCACCCCAGCACAGGAAAGGGCCCATGCATTATTTACATTGTCCAGGTTTCAGAACGGGGCTAGCTCGCTTTAGTTACCAGCAAGAGCCCCAGCAGGAGCAGCACAGAATGAGCATGCAGATAAAAGAACTGCTTGCTGTGGGAACCACACATGACGAGGAACCCCTCAGAATGACACCTCTGTGCTTGCTGGGACTTTTGTGCCGGATCTCTGATTCCAGCTATCATAAGTGGTTCTCACTGTGAAAGACAGCTCTGGCCACGCTTTCCTACCTTTTATATTCTGGCCCACATGCACCTTCGTCACAACCCTCAGAGACAGGAAGAAGGTCAGGCTTTGCAGGAAGGCCTGGGTAGCCCTGAAAAAATGATGATGTTTGCTCAGATGTGTACAGTTTACAGAGTATGTAGCACATGCATTTTCTTATTATAAAAAGTCCTCAAAACAAGCCTGTGAGTGAGTCATAATAGCTAACATCTCCTGAATGCTTACTAAGTATGGATGTCATATGTATATACACATGTATACACACACATATACATTTATACATAAACGTTTGGGTATCATAGATACGTGAATACATGTACACACATATATATTCATACATACTTATGTACATACATATATTCCTTATAAGACTCCTGTAAGATAAATATTATTATTCCCATTTTACAGATGAGCAAACAGAGAGATTAAAATAACTTGTCCACAGTCAAGGATAGTAGAGGCACTAGTGGAAAACTGACCCTAGGATCTAATATTTTCCACCACACTTCTTCTGTAGGAGTCAATATCTAGTAGAATCTCTCATGGATTACAGCTCACACAAAGTGTACCCTGAATCTTTTCTATCTCATCAACTCTGCTTACTCCATTGCTGGAAACACATGGTCTGCTGGTTGTTCAGTCACCTCTTGGTTCATTTCATAGGTTGGATGAAGTTCATTTGCATGTCTTTTCTTTTTCGCAGTGCCCCTCCACTCACTGAGAAGGAAGTTGAGGTAAGTAAATCCAGTGTTTTATGAAATTATGAAGCCTGGGCTTGACTGGGTTTTATTTACACTTTCGTTAAGGGGATAACCTGGGTATAGAGAACTAAACATTGAGCATTATTGATAAACTTAACTGGACTGAGGCTTGGGTGGGACAGAGAATTTCCATCCATGGACATTGGTAAAGATGGCCTGTGGGGGGTTTGTTTAATGGCCAGCTTCTGTCCTGAGATGCATACTGACACAATCAGTACTCAGCACAGTGAAAATAGCACAGGCTTTGGTATCAGACCGTCCACGGCTGAATCCTGGCTCTGCTACTGTCTGTGCCACCTTGAACAAGTTAATGACCACTCTGGGTTTGTCTCTTTGTATGTGGATATATCCATATATGGATACAACAGTTCCTATCAAGAGGGTTGTTGTGGGATTAAATGAGCTAGGGAGCATAAAACTCATAGCAGTGCTGGCATATAGTAGATGTTCAATAAGGAGCAGCTTTCAATTTTGACATCATCAACATCATTGATGGGACTTCAGTTCTCTGTCTGGAGATGCCTGCCCACTGTGGGCCTTGGTACACAAACTTCAGAAGCTCAGGCAGAGTTAGCTCACCCCAATAGTGTAAATCTGCTACCACTTGATTCAGGCAGGCCAACGAAGCCTGTAAAAATGAAGGCCATTGCTTCCTTCCTGCGTAGAGTCCATCTGTCTATTTCTCCTCCCCAGTAGCTTCCTACTGTTCCAGGAATTCCATGTCAGCTCAGCACCACCTTTCAAAGTTCGTTCATGCAGGCTGTATTTTCAGCATGGAATATTTCTTCCAGAAAGCTTCTCCTGCTAGAATCATACCTAGCCTTATTGAATCTCCCGGCAGCTTTTGAGAGCCGCTTTCAATAAAGGATTTGGAATATTCGGGCAAGATGCTGGTTGAACTTTGCTTTAAGTCAACAAGATTTACATCTCAAATTTTCTTTATAGTGGTTTCACGTGAAACCTCCAAACCTCACGTGCAATAAGTCCTTGCATGAATCCAAACTGCTTACACAGTCAGCTATGCTGGCCCTAGTTTATCTAAACCCAAATACAGGATGTTATTTTCTTGAAGTTAAGGGGGAAGCAAAGTGTTATTCTCTTATTATTTCTCAGTAAAATGCATTTAGTCTTCTGGTCCCTGGAAGGATCTAGCATGGACCTCCGGTTACTATTTCACTACCTTTTGTGCAGTTGACTGTGAAGGGAGAGTTTCACGTGTACATGGCTGCTTTGGTGACTGGTTCCAGGCTGATGTAGAAAATGCTCATGCAAGAAACACACCTGCAGCCTTCTTCCCTGCAGTACTCCTCCTAGCACCTCTCCCATACTCTTGTTCCCAACAGAACGTGTTTGTACAACTGTCCTTGGCCTTTAGAAATGACAGCTACACGCTGGAGTCTAGAATTAACCAGGCTGAAAGGGAACGCAACCTGACAGAGGAGAACACTGAGAAGGAACTGGAGAACTTCAAAGCTTCCATTACGGTAATTGTGGAGCCTGCCTGTGGAATCCTTGGAGGAGGGACTTTCACCAAGGGCTGTGCCGGGTATACTGTTTTTCTCAGTCACCAAGTAGAGTCTCCTGAAATGAGAAATCAGGCCAAGGCCCTGAGTCAGGCAGTCTTCCTCAGAGTGCAGGGGAGAGCCAAGGCTGAAGGCCTGGTTACCTCAGGGCTGTGTCTCTGAGCCCGTGGGAGCTTCTCAAGACAAGGCTGCGTGACCTGGGATGGCAAAGAGAGCTCCTTGGCAACCAAAGACCCGGATGTGACCCCGTTCTTTCAGGCCAGCCAGGTAGAGTGTGTCCAGATTGGGCTTTTCCAATCCCCAGAAGAAGCAATAGCCCAGACTCTGCAGAGGTCACTCCTCTCGGGCAGGATGGGGACCGGGTCTTATCCTGTGAGAACCCAAGTCATGTCTTGGTATGTGAGGCCCCCAAGTGATGTTCCTTCTCACTCCTCAGTCCTCAGCTTCACTCTGGAACCACGGTGAGCACCGGGAGACCTATCAGAAGCTGCTGGAGGACATCGCGGTCCTGCACCGCCTGGCTGCCCGCCTCTCCAGCCGAGCTGAGATGGTGGGGGCCGTCCGCCAGGTGAGCCTTGCCCTTGCCAGCTCCAAGCCCTGCTGACTGGCTCTGCTGCACCCACAGTGACTAGAGCAGTGATGTAGCAGCGACAAGTACAGATACCACGTACTGATGGCTTCCTCTGCACATTGTTGTGGGTTTTCCAGAGTATTTTTGGTGGACCACTAAACCCTTGAGGGCTCCTTGGAAAAGCTTTCTGTGGACACATAAGTAGGAACTACTACACACTCCCTTCCTTTCTTGGAATTCCTAATGCATAATGGCATAATCAAGCCTTTGAGAAGTCTTACAGTGAAGAAGCTTCTTTGGGTTTACCTCTGTATTTCCCAAATGTATTGGATTGAAGAACCACCCTCCCCTTTTTATTTATTTCTACAAAATACCTATTCAACTCCCATGGAACTAGTATTTGGCAAAACATGCTTCATGAAAAACTGCTTTATTTCACTGAATCCTCCTAGCAACCCTGTAAAGTAAATATCCCTATCCCCTGATGAAGACACGAAGTCTCAGAAAGGTAATAGCACCAGTAGTGGCAGACTGGGGTGCCGGCCTAGGTCTGGCTCCCTCTCAGCCACTTTGAAGTCCTGAAGCACACAGAACACTGCCCTGACCCTGGGCGTCTGGGGATGAGGTGGCCTGAGGTCAATTCCGGGCTCCATCGGCTTTCACTGTGCGGCCTCGGGCCAGTTACTGAGCTCTCTCTGCTCCAGCTTCTCCAACCGTAAAATGTGGGTGATGGTAGTGTCTGCCATGTAGGGTTGCTGTCATACTTGTAAAGCATCCGGGTGCTGTTATCACTGCTGCTATTACTGTGGACCCAAGTCCTTTGGCATTGGCTTCATCAGCAGGGTGTCCCTGGGGCACAGCCCCAAGCAATTCTCATAAAATAAAAGAAGGACAAGCCACTGGTTGTCCCACCCCCATTTTCTTCTGGGGAAAGGGCACTTGACTCAGCAGCAGCACCCAGGAAGTCACTCCAGCTGGGAGTAGCCACAAAGGGAGAATTCAAAGGAAGTGGCTGGTCTCAGCTCATGGCTACGAGGAACTTTTCCAGGACATGGTCACTGATCATGTCCCTCTGTGGCTAACTAGGTCCTAGGCTAGGCTCTCTGAAGGACCCAAGGAGTATAAGCAGAGAAAAATCTTCCTCTTTCTGTGCAGCCCTCCAAAACATGTTTCCAGGCCACGTGTTGCTCTCTCCAGTCTTCACTTTTCTCCAGTGGCTTCCCCACCCCTAGCTTCGGAGTCTCAATCCTCACCTTCTCTCTAGTTCTACCAGGCTTGTTCAAGCATTCGTCCTCTCTCTCCTTGTTGCTCTTACTGCCACCAGTCTTACTCCCATCAGTTTAATTTCCACTGGTGGCCTAATGATGTCACTCCCTTCCTTTAAGACATTCCATGGCTTTCCTTTTCAGAAAGAGTCTAAATTCCTTAATCTAGCATTCAGGGTCCCTCACAACCGAGCCCTAAGTACCTTTCCTTCTTGTGAACAAACCCAACTGCTTGCTGACTCCTACATAAGTAGGATGACCTGTATTTTCCTGGTTTTCTAAACAGTCCTGGTAGATAGAATGCCTATTCTCCCAGCATAATTCTTTTTTATTAATTAATTAATTAATTAATTTTATTATTATGAGTTTCAGGTGTACAAAACAATGCAATAGTTATCCTTTTCACCCTTCACAAAGTGACAACCTCCCCTTCCCCCATCCACTGCCTCCCCACCCCCGATATCATACATATCTGTTACAATTCCATTGACTCCATTCCCACACTATACTCCACATCCCATGACTATATATGTATTAAGTTATAGTTGACATATAATATTATTCAATGGCAGCTTCAGATGTACAG